CCAGACATTTTTTCTCTATTTTCCCACTTAACAAAAAATTTTTATTTCCACCCTCTTAAACTGTAATACAGATTACATACTTATAGTGTATATGTGTTCACTGTGTGCATAGCATTGATGATCAACCTTTACTCTCCCATGTGAGGGTTTTCAATTACAGTGCCCTACCCACAGAGGAGGGCAAGCAATACCATCTCCTTCTCTACAGCTGTTCACAGAGGAGGGCAAGCGATTCCATCTCCCTCTCTACAGCTGTTCACAGAAGGCCACACAGATCTTAGCTGGGTCAATAAAAGTCCTTCCTAGGGCTTTGCTGTTAGAGCTAGCAAAGAAGACCCTTTTGCCTCTGAGGTTATAATACTAGGAAGATGCTGCATTACATCTTGTGATGTAATGTGAAGACAATTATGCCGACACAATGAGGACACCAGACCAGGAAGAAAGAAAGAGAATAGCCAGCACCATCATCTGAATCCAGCCATATTGATACTTCCTGGTGATGTTTGTCAACACATGCTCTTCTTAGTTTAAGCTAGTTTAACAATATTCTTGTCTCTTATGCCCAAGAGTCCTGGCCAATACAAGTTATCAAAAGTTTTTAATCACTGAATATTGTTCAGAGCATGATTTGAAATGCTGATATAAGCATTCCATCACATGAATATACCATAATTTATGTGTCATTACTTTATTAGTACTAAAAGGATTAGTATTTTCCTATCTGGAGTTGTTTTGAATAATTTATTTATTTATTTTTAAAAGATTTTCATTATTTGACAGACAGAGATCACAAGTAGGCAGAGAGGCAGGCAGAGAGAGAGGAAGGGAAGCAGGCTCCCCACTGAGCAGAGAGCCCAATGTGGGGCTCTATCCCAGGACCCTGGGATCATGACCTGAGGTGAAAGCAGAGGCTTTAACCCACTGAGCCACCCAGGCGCCCCTCCAATTATTTATGATTAAACACATTAAGTTTCTTTTAAAAGCCTCAGCTACAGAATCAAATTTCATCTTCATGAGGAATACATGCAGAATTCCAAATGTTTGTGCAGCATAGAAAACACTGGCTCAGACCATAAGCAGTATACTGTTTGAAAATCTATAAAGGTCCCCAACATTCTGTCAAATAGTTAAGTTACTGGCACAGCAGTCTCAGAGGGGAATAACCTATAACTTCCAAACTCTTTATATGCACAATGAATGACAAGTGACATCCCTCATACTAAACATACAAATTCCTAGAGCTTTTTTTTTCCCCCTTGTTCTCTATCACCACTTCTTTTCAAAGGAGATTATATATTCTATTTGTAGTAATTCAAAAGTATTTTTTTTAAAAACAGAAGTGTTATATTTTCATTTGTTAAGCTATGTTCTAAGATTCTTTATAACACCAGAAAGTAAGTTCAAGCCATTATTTGCTAAATTGTTAAAATGGTGACAAATGAGATTCTATAAGATATCCTATGGCTACAACTCATCTCTCTCCCCACAAAAATGCAGATAAAAAAGAAGCAAATGTTTAGAGCATTAAAACAGCAACATATTAAGACCAAAAAACCCCAATGCTAGTAAATATTCATTCACTAATCATAACTGTGAGGTTGGCTAGGGGAATATGAGTCTCACAGCTTTAATATATTTACCCGAGCAGAATTAGTCTATCTTTTTGACAAATTTTTTCCTTGCAATACATTTAAATTCAAATATATACTGCCCTACCTTATCACAGGATCTACTAAAGAATAATATTTGGAATGAAGTCAGTCTGTCTTAAGTCCTTTCTGAAAAGATTATTAGAAGTCCTAAGCAAAAGCAAAACAAAAAACAAAACAAAACAAAACAAAATAAGCAAAAAAAAAAAAAAACCAAGAACTATTAAGGAATTTCATGCTAGAATGGTTGGACTGTAGAATTACAATATAGTTAACATATCAATAGCCTTATTAACTTAATGAATGGTAGTATAGTTATTACTTAGTATTATCAGACAAGCAAATAATCAAGACATTTACCGGTACCATCTCCCACTTCTCCATTTACTGCTATATAAATTCCTATGCTTAGAAAATGCCTGCTTCTGGGGCACCTGGGTGGCTCAGTCATTTGGGCGGCCGACTCTTCATCTCAGCTCAGGTCAGGTCTGGATCTCAGAGTTCTAAGTTCAAGTCCCACGTGGGGCTCCAGGCTAGGCTTGGAGCCTACTTAAAAGAAAAGGAAAAAAAAAAACCACCTGCTTCTGCTTCTAATAAAAAATAAAATAGGTCTTAGAAATAAGAGCTCAAGCAAATTAGATTTCTTTCACATTTGTTTCTTCTTTTTTAAACCAAGTTGGTTCTCTTTTCTTCTAGATCTTGGGGTACACACCATTAATTACTTTCTTATACAAAAACAGTATAGTTTTAGAAACAGTTTTACTTTTCCTGGTGGTATCCTAAATATGTATTTCCACTAGATTGGGCAAGTACAAAAAATGATTTAGGGTATTAAAATTTGCCAACAGACAACCCAGAAAAGATATGCTGAATATATCTGTGGTCAGAAATACTCAGGGCTTTAATTAGTATTTTTTTTTAAATATTTTATTTATTTATTTATTTGTCAGAGAGACAGCACAAGCAGGCAGAGTGGCAGGCAAAGGCAGAGGGAGAAACAGGCTTGCCCGATTCAGGACTCAATCCTAGGACTCTGGGATCATGACCTGAGCCAAAGGTGGACGCTTAACCCACGCATGCCAGCTTTAGTTAATATTTTGCCTAAAATGAAATCGTGAATTTTCCAACAAACAATATTTTTTTAAATAAAAAAGAAATTTCCTTAATCCAGCAAGTCAATTCTTTTGACACTTTAAATCCCAAGAAACAAGTCTCAGGCAAGTAACTATGAAAAAACACCCAACTTCTCTCTTGACAACATGTAAACACGAAATGGCAACCAGCCCTCCTTTTTTTTTTTTTTTTTTTAAGATTCTTATTTTTAAGTAATCTCTATATCCAATGTGGGGCCTGAACCTCAAGAAAAAGAGTCCCCATGCTCTCTACCAACTGAGCCAGTCCGACGCCCCCCTCCCTTAGTCTTTGTTTTAGAAACATATAGTGGTTTAACGAAACTAACAAACCAAGAAATAAACTGCTAAATAAATTCTATGCCATCAAAAGACTTTAACTCATAGTAAAAAAAGTTTCACTACTTGGTATCTGATTGGGAATCCAGAATGGTATCTTCATAGGACAGATATGGGGGGTGGGGCGGAAGGACTATTTAACAGAATGCTGGGGGGAAAATTTCATTTAATTATGTAGTAGTGTAAAATCTTACATTTTTTGGTTAAGAAAAAAAGTTAAAACAACTATATATTAAACTTTATATTGTACATGTAGTGTGGGCTCTAAAAGGCTGAAAAAACCTATCCAAGTTAAAAGAATGCATGTTTAAAGTTCTTTCAAAAACTGAATACTTTATGGGACAACAAAATTCTCATTCCAATTCCTACATTACGTTCTCATTGATGATCTTCAAGTTTACCACAGTGCTAATAAGTCATGTACTCAATACTGCTTAGAAAAGATAAGCAGAAACATTTAAGAACAAAATTCAAAAATACAAACATTTTTAAGAGACACTTCCACAGTTATGAAAATACCTATAATATAAATAAACATGCAATAAATAAAAACGCACATGATGTCACAAGAAATACAATCTTAATGCACTGCCTAAAACTGGCCTGATCTGCACAAACTAAAATGTAAAGCAGAACTCATTACTATTAGCAAAACTCTACATTCAACTTTAAGAATTATCAAAACCTCTACTTTGATTTTCAGGTAAGAGCAAGCACTTCCCTCTACCTTTTGCAAATGTGTCTTCATTTAAAATAGGAAGATTAACTGTAAATGACTATACAAAAGTTTCAGAAGAATTCAAGATGATATATTAATGTCTCAAGAATATCTGGTTTAACATACAAGATGAGCCAGATACCCCTAAGCATCTACTTCATAACTTGACAATAAGGCAGAATCACTATAATATTCAAGAAACATGCACAAAAACGCCCCCAAAGGAAAAGACAATGTTGATGCTAATTCTTGGCCTGAATAATTTCTTAGTCCGCACAGTTATTTTTCCTGAATAGCAACCCGAAATGGTAGTGAATTTTTTTGAAAGCTTGTAAATACGTTTAAACCTTTAATCTTTACAGATCACCGTTCAGCTACATAAATTCGTTCATTTTTATACTGTTGATATTTTTAACTTTGAATACTGGGAAATCTCAAAGTCAAAAAAGAAATCCACTGGGTCAATCCTTAGCCCCCCCCCCCCACCAAAACAAAAAAGCAAAACCTCCCCCCCAGCTTTTATCGAAACAAGTAGTTTAACTACTTTGTTTTGTTTGTTTGTTGTTGTTGTTTAATAGTTATCCTTGCCCTGAACGCTCTGCTGCACCTTTTTACCTTAAACCAAAACGGACCCTGGACTATTATTCTTAAGCTGTTTCCAGTAGACCCACAAGAGGCGTTTCGCGGCCAGGCCTGGGAGCAGTAAGGTCCGCTAGTTTTCAGACCCTTCTCTCAGCATTTCTCACTCGCTCAGTTTCTGGATGAAGAAGAGGGCCCGGAAAGCTGGGCCCGAAAGGGCAGAGTCAGGGCCTAGACCGCTGCACGATCCCCGAGGCGACTCGCGCGGTGGGGAGGTGGTAGGAGGCACCGAAAACCGGACGCCGGAGGCCAGGGGTGTCTATGTAAACGCAGGAGACGGTCAGACTTGAAGCGCAAGGCTCGGGACCCCCTTCGCTGCCTCCTTCACCCTCCCCTCCCCCATGCTGGAGAAGCAGGGCCCGGGCCCGGTGAGGGAAGGGGGAGGAGGTAAACCCGTCCTGTCACTGCACCGGGAGAAACTGGAAGAAGCACATGTTCTACTGGGAGAGGCTGCGGTCGACCCTGCCCCAGTCCCTAAAGCCAGGCACCACCCTTAACCCCAGAGTTCCGTCCCCACCGCCTCACCAAGTCGTAGTCCTCCTCATCATCGCACATGAAATCATCCTCCATGTCAGACATCTTGGCCGGGAGGGGGGGAGAGGGAGGAGAAATTGGAGACAACCTCCTCCCACAATCCTCCACGGCTCAGAGGCGTCACTCCCAGCTTCTCCTCGCCTTCCCGTCGCTCTTAGAGGAGCTGTATGTTTCCTTCCGGAACAAATGCGCTCGGTATCGAGAGGATTCGCTACGACGCCAAAAAGGAGTGCACTGCCCCGTCTTCCTGCGAGACGGTTGGTGCCTTAGCAACTAAACCTAGCAACTGGGGAATCGTCTACTGCTGAGGATCTCTGCTGAAGGGCCTTGGAAACCTTGCGCTCACACTGAGCAGTTTCCAGCCTCCTGGGCAAGGGAACAGTCTCTTCCCTTGCCTGGGACTCTGGAACCATCTCATTCTGGTGAAAGTAGGAGGCACCGTAGGATCAGAAGCCTTTCGCGGAGAAAAGGCTGACATGCCCGTCCTATTAGACAGGTAGTAGTATTTCTGCCTTGATTATCTATGCGCATTTTGCCCACATATTATGGTGGGTGTTCCTGTGATGTTTGGAGACCTTTTCAGCGGTACGGTTTACACATGATGTTTGTTATGTTTGTACTCGGCAAAATGATGCTGTGGCTCTCCCAAACCAGTTAAGCATCAATCGAGGCGCCTAAAATCCTACTCAGTTCTTCCAACGAATTATAAACTGACTTTTACTGCCCTTAACCAAAATTAAGGTAACAGGTAACGACTGGTTTTTAAAATACGCACTATTGTTGCACAAAATTATTAGCAGAATTCAAAATGAAAAAATGAAAGTGAAATACGGGGGCGGGGGACTGCGTTTTAAACAGCATTTTCCATATAAACTTCCAGTTCTGTCCACTTGAAGCAAATTTTATATAGTTATAGCACAGATATAATTTCGGATTATTTTTGCACCTAGTTATGTAACAGCATAGGACAATATATGCAATATGTTTTTGACAGTGATAATTTAATGGTTGTGTAATAATACCTCAATTGAATGTACCAATGCACCATAATTCACCTAAGCATGCCATTAATAGTGTACACTTAGAATACTATTTTAAACAATTTTGCAACGAATATCTTTGCCACTTAGTTTTTTTCTTGGGAAAAAAACCCAAGAGGAGGAATTACAGGCTGCATTTCTTAGCAATCAATTGAATTGCCATCTTTTTGGTCATAGCTCTTAAAAGTTATATTTACAACAACAAGACTGCTTACCTATAAACAGTTTTTCCTTAATAGTCTTTTCTTGACAACTTTTTATTATGAGAATTTCAAAAATTCAGAAAAATTGATACAGTCCAGGGATCATGTGTATGTATACCCACTATCCGCTTTGTGTTTGTGTGTGTATTTCCTGAATCAATTGAAAACAAAATGCTTGACACATCACTCTTAGATGCAGCTATGTGTATTTCCTAAAAACAAGGACATTTTCTTATATGATCAGATCATTATTACATCAAGAAAATTAATAATTCCCTAATATCATCTAATATAAAGTTCATATTCAAAATTCCCCTATAAAGCATAGGATTTTAGAATTGGAAGAGCCTTTAATGATATCACTTTAGGGTCCAAGGTGTTCCAAGCATGGCAGTTCATTAGATTATAAACTTCCCAAATCCCACACCAGAGATTCTGATTCAATAGGTCTGGGGTATAGCTTGGGAATCTATACTTGTAAACCTTAAAACAAACCAGAATCTCCCTATAACTGGGGTGACTATACATCTCAGTTTCCCTGGGACAGCCCTGATGTAATACTGTTGTCCCAGAGTAATAATTATCAGCATCCATTTCTCTCAGGACTTTGGGCAGTATATCACATGGTTACTCTACCTGAAATCCGTAATTCTTCAAAAGAGAAAATAGAATTCCAAGGTGTTTAAGAGGTTTATTTTTTCAGAGTAATCAGAACTATATAGTTTTGCATTCTAATCAGTATAGCAATTTTGCGATTTTCTATTAACCTTGTGCGTGGTGGTTTACATTGAATTTATTGATATAATTTTCTGCTTTTTAATTATTTACTACTACAAAGGGGAAAGAAATCAAGTGAGTTAGTGACTAGGAGCCCTAGAAAAACTACAGGTAAATGTTGAGCATAATATTCTTAATCATTTCCAAATTTAATCAATCCAGTCTGGAAATTTGCTAAGACAGACAAAAAGGTCTTCACAGTGTTTAGCACACTGCTTGGGTACACAAGTTTGTTTTTTGAATGAATAAACATGTTAATTTTTCTGTACAAGGAATGCCTTTATAGCTATCACTATGCGTCAAAATCTTTTCTGTCCTTAAAAATATGTTTAAATGTCATTTTACTCACATGACCTATCCTGAACACTTTGTGCAATTATGATATTCTCTTTTTCTTGACATCAGTTTTATTCAATGGTAAATAATAATTTTTTTTACTGTAACAGGGAGCATTAATGTGATGTGATGCCCTTGTAGAAGGTGGATCCTATGTTTAATAAATACATATATATAGGAGCGCCTGGGTGGCTCAGTGGGTTAAAGCCTCTGCCTTTGGCTCAGGTCATGATCTCAGGGTCCTGGGATTGAGCCCCACATCAGGCTCTCTGCTCAGCAGGGAGCCTGCTTCCCTCTTTCTCTCTGCCTGCCTCTCTGCTTACTTGTGATCTCTGTCTGTCAAATAAATAAATAAAATCTTAAAAAATATATATATAAAACTTTACTGAAGTATAATTTATCAGCTTTACTGAGGTACATTAAGCTGCACATACTTAAAGTGGACAATTTGATGAATTTTGACATATGTATATACCTGTGAAACCATTACCACAACCAAAGTAATGAATATATTTATCATTGCAGAAACTTCCTGATTACCTCTTGGTAATCCTTCCTTTTCAACCCTTTCACTTTTCCCAGGCAACCACCAATCTACTTTTTGTCATATAGATTATTTTTCATTTTCTGGAATTTTATATAAATGAATCATACAGTATGTACTCTCTTTTGCCTGACTTCTTTCACTCCATATAATTACTTTGAGATTCATCAGTGTTGTTTCAATTGGTTTCAACTGATTGTTTCTTTTTTTTGCTAAGTGTTCCATTGTATAGATATCTCACAAGATATCTATTCACCTGTTGATAGGTATTTGAGTTTTTTCAGTATTTAGCTAATACAAATAGAGCAATTGGGCACATATGTGTACAAGTTTTTGTGTGGACATATATTTTGTTTCTCTTGAGTAATGTGGTGGACAGACAGAGGTGGTCTTCTTACTAACCATGCTCTTGGATAATCCTTCCCCCCTTGAATGTGGGTGGGATCTGTGAACTTACTTCTCTTTTTGTTTGTTTCAGCTTTAGTGAGGTGTGATTGACAAATAGATGTGACTTGCTCCTAATAAGATACAGCAGAAGTGATATATGTGATTATGTGAACATAATTACATTGCACAAGATTAGAAACTCATTTTGCTGGGAGAGACTCTACCTCCCTTGCTGCTTTGAGAAAGCAAGTAGCCATGTTATGAAGGATCATGGGGCAATGAGCTGAGGGTCACATGTGGCCAATAGCCAGCAAGAAACCATGGCCTTCACTCTGACAACCCACGAAGAACTGAATACTGCTAACAGTCACGTGATCTTAGGAATGAATCCTTCCCTAGTTGAACCTCAGATAAGACTTTGCGAGACCCTAAAACAGAGGACCCAGCTAAGCCATACCCTGACTCCTGAACCATATAGAAACTGTGAGGTAATCAATGTGTATTGTTTTATACTGCTATGTTTGTGATAATATTGTTATGTGGTAATAGATATGAATATAGATAAATACCTTGCAATGGGATGGTTGGTAGATATATGCTTAACTTTCAAAGAAACTCTCAAATTGTTTCTTTAAGTGGTTTTGCCACTTTGCGTATCTACCAGCGATGTATAAGTGTTGTAGTTGCTCCACATCCTCGTCAACACACAGTGTGGTCAGTTGTTTTAATTCTAACCACTCTAGCAGGAGTATAGTGGTAGATCATTGTGTTTTCAGTTGGCATTTCCTTAATGACTAATTTTGAACATCTTTTCATGTGCTTATTTGTCATCTATGTTATCTTCTTTGGTGAAGTATCATTTCAATTCTTGTGCTCATATTAAAATTGGGTTATTTGTCTCATTACCATTGACTTGTGAGAGCTTTTTGTGCCTTTTTTGTTGTATTTAAAGAACATTTGCCAAAACCAAGGGCACTAAATTTTTTTTAAGTTTTCATCTAAAAGTTTTACATAGCTTTAACTCTTATATTTAAGAGTTTAATTTCAGGTTTAATTTTTGTATGTAGCATGGGGTAAATGTGGAGGTTTTTTTCTTTTCTGTGTATGGATATTAAATTGTTCTAGCTTTGTCTGTTGAAAAGATGACCCATTCTGTGTTGAATTGTCTTACTACCCGTGTCAAAAATAATTGACATATAATTCCCAACATAATTTGACCCTTTAAAAGTATATTTTTATTTGATTTGTTACTGTGTATTATGATTATTTTGTGTTCTTTATTAAGCTGAAAGCTCCTTCAGGACACAATTATCTTACTTATCTCTGAATCCCCTGAAACTAAGCATGTGCTTTGCCTGTAGAAAATGCTCAATGAAAATGTGATATTTTAAAGTAAACTCTGGCATTCATGATCCCTTACTTCTCTGGGTTGAGACATATGGTTACCCCAAATAGGCTCATGATTTAACATCCCTTCACATTGATCATCTTAAATTTTTTTGTTTTTTTTTACTACATTTATTTAGAGAGACTGAATACCATAAGTTAGAAGGCAAAAAAGGAGGACTCCTTTTATAATAGTTAAGATCTGGACAGGAAACTCAGGGTGTACTCAGGGGGGTTAATTAAAAATTTAATGAAGCCAGCCTGGCTGGCTCAGTTGGTAGAGCATGAGACTCTTAATTATCAGGGCTGTGAGTTCAAGCCTCAGATTAGGCTCAGAGTTTACTTAAAAAAAAAAAAAAATCAGCTGGATTTAGTAGAAGTTCAGATGGACTTCCCAATAGCAGCCATGGTTGTAGAGAAATGAGAAATGCAGCTACTGT